ATCATGGAAGGGCCGTCTGTTAAATATCACGTCCAATCGAGATAATCCGGTTTACGCAACTGACACGCTACTTCATTCTTAACAAATAGAGGATTAACAGCTAGCTCGTTTTACTATGCCTACAACGTTTATAGATTATGTTTATTCTCATTCATAATGATTCATTAAAGTTGAGTTCGAATTATTATTATTATATTTAATCTATCATACTCATAACATTGAAAATATTATCATGGATGGATGGATGGATAGATGTTTGTTTGAAGTTATCTCCGGATTTGATCGAAATTTGGCACACATGTAGAACATAGTCTGAAGAAACACATAGGCAACTTGTTATGATTTCTTTTAATTCCGCGCTGACGGAGTCGCGGGCGACATCTAGTTAATATATAATTAGGATTTTACTACACTCAGAACATAGTAGAACTGTGCTCAATCATTTCTCGATATGTTTACTTTGAAATTATTTAAATCTATTATTTAAATATTTTATAAAAAGGATACCTCGATTCACTATATCTCTTTAATACTACGAGAAAGAATACGAACCGAAAGTACTTTTTTAGTCCACAGAAGGTAAAAACATAGTAGTACTACGAAGTTGACCATTTCCACTGCCGAAAAAACCGTTCAAAAAGCATATTGTTGTCTATATTTGTTCACAGAAAATGAGAGGGATGGTTATAAGTTTTCGGATATATCAACAGTGGAAGCTCACCTTGATAATTTAGCACAATACTGTGAACATTCCCACTTCTAAAGCAACATGTGTTAAGTAATTTGTATGTTCTTGTGTTTTGCAATGGATTTTGTTGTCGCAATAAATTGATTAAACACAATATTGAGAATATTATTCTTGCAATCGTCTTCTGTTTGTATGTTTATTTAGAAATAGAATTACCCAATATGGTTACGATGAATCTTATCTTACTAATATAAATGCGATGTACTACTAATGTATGGATGGATGGATGTTTGCTTAAAGGTATCTTCAGAACAGCTGAAGCTGAAGAGACCTCGATGAAATTTGGCATACATATAGAACATAGTCTGGAAGAGTACATAGGCTACTTATTTCTTATTTTTTATTGCGAGTAGACGGAGTCGCGGGCGACCGCTAGTATAAAATAAAGTATACACTTCAATAGGAGTATAAATAATACGATTTTATTATAAGCGTGCTTATGACAATTTCGATACTTCGAGTAACTCTAGAGTACGGTTATTTTATCAAAATAATATATTCATTTACAGTCATTAGGTGATTGCAAAATATGCACTTTTTAAAGTAAATGTTTCGGATAACGTGACTAGCTATTGACTGCGTGTGGTCAATTCTTACTAAGTTAAAACCACTACTTTAAAATTTAACTTAACATATTTTTAATTGTTTTCATTCTCATTTTATTTTAAATATGCAAGGAGTTACGATAATTGAATTTGTGTAAAAGAATCGATACTGTGAAACAGAATATATTAATAAAATTATAAAAGATTTTATCATCTATGTTAATATCCAAAAAAACAAGACAATTTAAACTTCTGTATCGTTTTAAATATTCACATATTAAAATTCTTTCCGTAATATATTATGGCGCCAGCATCCAACCCATCTGAAAGATTTATCTTCCAGCTAAATCCGAACGATCTATTTGCTCACTTCATTCATGGGCAAGTCCATCAATCTTGTAATGTGTCATTTAAAAAACAACATATCCTATCACCTAAGTTACACCAAAATAGCCCTTAAGTTATAGCACTACGTTCGTACTAAGTGTAGAGTTAACTTTGCCTCAATGTCAACCACGGGGCAAGTGACGTAAGTGATGACGCCAACCTCACGTACATTTCCAGAAATTTAACTACGCTAAACATCTGCCCTACAAATGCAAGTGAAAGTTTAGTTTGTACTTTCCGACTCGATGTGATAAACATGGGAAAATATTAGAATCGAGGTCGACAATAGTTCTATGGCCGTAATCTGTTGGATGATTGAATTGCCCTAAAGATTTTAACTTCTTTATTTCCGTATAACACTTTTAATTGGCTGCTTGGAAGCAGAACAACTAAGTAATTGAAAAAGAAATCAAATCGTGCATTTACATTTTACGTTGAAACTTTTTAGGGTTCCGTACCTCATAGGAAAAAAACTGAACCCTTATAGAATCACTTTGGTGTCCGTCCGTCCGTCTGTCAAGAGCCTTTTTTACTTATTCAGTAGTACTTTATGATCGATACAGCTGTTACGTGCATATCAGAAGGCCTAGTACGAAAATTTACCATCTTGTCCTATCTGGTATAAAGCGCACCAATAAACATATGACGATAACATTAAGAATACTTTCTCGCAAATCATGCTAGACCCTCTTTAATTTACAAATAAACACAGTCATAACAATGGTAACTCCGTGTTTACTCAAACATCCTATTAATTCAATAATTTATCTCCCTTTCTTAACGTTATTTCGAATGTGTTTATTTAAAGAAAACGCACATTTTACTTTACGCGTTATATCACCGGTAAATAATTCGGCGAAACAATTTTATAGTTTCTTAAAAATAACTTTTAGTGATACTGTCATCAAAAATTGGCCAAGTTCCAAAGATCTTTGCAGTCATACTGAACCTAGAACTAAAGATTTTAATACTAACTCTGTTCCATCATTTTAGCTAAACGGCGTCAAATTCTAATTAAAATCTATACATATAAGTGAAATTGGAGTAGCTGTATGTAATGCAAATTTTCATTTTTCTCTATCTGTCCGCAAGGCCGTGTCTGTTCCCGACAATCTTCGAAACGGCTAACTCGATTTTGATTTTGATCCGAACTTTGACGGCAACGATGCAAATACATGCGATTATACTATAGGCTCCTCCTCCATCGCTATAAAAAATTAGCTTCAAATAACACAGTGAATGTAAAAGTAACAACAATTTAACACTTTGGGAACAGAAAATTATCAATTATCATCAAAATTATATTTAGTCTATGTTTTCAAATAGTCACAACCCAAGTTAAGATTTTAAAATAACCTAATATAATTTTTATAAATAATTTTATCAAGGAATGAAATTAAATATTTTTTTTTCTACTATAAGGTTACTTTTAGGATTGGTTACATCTTGTCCTATCAGGTGGTGATCTTAACAATGTTTATTACGAACGAATCACTTTGTGCGTTGCATTTCGTTGCGGATGTGTATCTTTTGCATTTTATCACGTACAATGCATATGTATGTGTACATATATGCGAATGTGTGTCTTTTTTAAATATCGTAGTCCAATTCTATTTTTAGAAGTGAATTGGTAATGAATTGATTCAAGGACAATATTATTGTTCTCGTTCACCGCTTTTTTGATATTACAGTAAACATAAAATTAGTCTTATACTATTATTATATATAAATACTTATTTCAGAATTAATGGAGTAAACAATTGTTTCAACTGCTAAACATTTTTTTGTTGCGCTTATTATTGTCACCAGATTGTTACGTAAAAATTAAATAAATTATGATCTCGATTAAATTTGACTTTTATGTATATATAACATAGTCTGGAAAGCTACTTTGTTTTTAATTCCGCGCGGACGAAGTCACGGGCAAAAGCTGGTCCACAATAATTACATTACAAATTAATTACTTAAATTTATCTCACCGTATCTCGTCTTGCACTAATTAATAACTGTTGGGCTAATACAATATTTAAGATTGTCCAATGCAGCCGCTGCTCGCTTCCTGTACTACATTTAGAGACATCTGATCTAAAAACCTAATTACAATCGCCTAAATAACACGCTTGATTAGTTATGAAATGTAGCGTTTCATCTCGCGACTTTTTATAAAATTTTGTGCAGTACATAATTAGAAGTAGAACGGATGGTATCCTTCAATTTAATAAATTCCAGTTTAATACCTTAACGTGTTTTTGAGAAAAAGGGTCTTGACAGACGGACGGACGGACAACAAAGTAATCCTATAAGGGTTCCGTTTTTTTCCTATGAGGTACGAAACCCTAAAAACAACAAGAAGTGAATATCACTATCTGCATTTTACCTTATCTGTGACAACTTTTAATAGCTTTAAGTTTAAATTCATATCAAGAAGTATGTATATGTTAGATGTAAGGTGTTCGATTAAAAATTTAAAAAAGTTAAGGCCCTGAGAATCTATTTAGGTGTTAAAAATTATTATTTTATTAATTCAATAAAATAACCTTTTTAAAAATAAAGACAGACTAAAGTAAACTGCAGTAAAAGACAAAATTAAACTTTATGATTTTACCACATTTGATCACTACTAGTTTTATTAGCTTTTTAACTGATTTCTGTGAAACGCCGTTAATTACTCTACATTTAGTAACAACGTTGTCATAGACAATTTTACTTGATATAAAAAGTATTTTCTTTTCGTTAATTTATTTCTTATTTTATAATCTCTTACTGAGTTTAGTGCACATTGACTGTTCAAGGAAGTATTTAATAACTATGAGTGGGGTAGTTAAATTAGTAAATTGGAAGGGTTAGTTTATCTACTTCCACTGAAATATATGTAACCCAAGGGGAATGCAATCCTTTGTAGTTTTGTACAATTCCGACGACAATAAATTCCCGAAGAACAGATGGAATAACTCATTAAAATAATATAGAAGATGCGTAATATCGATAATCAACGATGCTATTTTTCATAAATATCAAACAATTTGAATTTAACAAATAAATCTTTAATACACTTTTGAATACAAGTTACACAATTTACAGTACCAAAAAGCATTTGTAGGCATCCTTATGGGCCGTTTAACAAATCGTTACACTTTCAAAATTAGCAGTTGTTCTGGTACAAGAGCGCTCCGGCTATAAACGCCGCTGGGAGTGTTACGTTAAATCGCTTGCCTCCAGTTATATCGCTTCTAACTAACTCAACTTTACTTCTAAAGGATTAATTGTAAAGATTTTGTTAAAATATTTCTTTAAATTACCTTACTATCATTTCTTTTCAGCTTTATTGCTGTGATTCTGCTCTCGAAGACAATAAAAGCCGAATTATATGCCGGTAAGTTTTACATACAACTACATCCACCTCTGACAAATTTACGTAAACATAACTTAAAAGAACATGTAAAAAGTGAATTCATATAAATTACTGAATAGTAAGAAGGCACGTAACGTACTATAGAAGGTAATATAAAAGAAATTTCCTTTATTTACTACAGAAGGCAACCGCCTAGGTCATGCAAAATAACGAAATTTGTTGTGATTTGAATTTTAAATTGCTAAATTCACCCAGAGAAATGGCTGATCAAATTACAGGCTTCTTTGTTGGTTACAACTTATTTTTTGTTACTGACTTGCATGTAAAAAGCTACCGTGACCTCTGCCATTAAGCTTCAATCAAGATTAGTGGAAGCAGCTGCTAGTGTGCTCACAATGCTGTGTTTAGTTTACAAAATATTTTTGCTATGTACTTGTATTTAGTAAAAACATATTCCACCACTATTGTCCTAGATATTCACTAGAAATTTACATTTAAATTGCTGTCTGAGCTACTAAAATAATTTTTATAATAGCTAACAAATGTGACAAAACATTTATTTTGTGGTAAAGGAAAATTATCATTATTCAACTAAAACTTTTAATAAAAATAATCGCATGATTTTCTAATTACGGAATTCTTATAACTTTTTAACGAATTCAAATTATCATAAATCTTGGTGAAGTGTGTGAGTAGATCAAGTACTTGTACAAGTAGAACAATGGGTCAATTGTTAATACCTTTACAAACTAAACAATTTATTACTTTCACTTTGACAAATGGCAATTGATAAGAGGTTCGTGTTAATGAAGATATTTACGGTTTTAAAAAATAAAGTTACAACTCTTAAAATAACAAAAGGCATAGTACAGACTAATACAAAATCAAAATAAGTAAACAGTAGTTTAACAGTGGTAAAACCCGCTTTAACATCTTCGCGCGAATTGTACGGGCTCGCCCGGTGAAATACCACGTCCACACTGAAGACAGGCGTGAAGTGGAAGCTAATCCGCGTTTTGTCTGATGAGTGTCCGTCCCGGAGGCCTAATTTAGTCCTCTTTCCCTTCCAATCCATTTTCTTATAAGAAAAGAATGGGAAGTGGAAGTGGACTTTCCGCATATGCAATTGGGTTTGTCTATGGGCAACGGACAAAATTAAAAAAAAAGTGAAAAATTAAAGAAAGTTGAACATCTAAAGAAAACATAGGATTGAGTAATTGTTTTTTTGTTTCAGATTACAACATTCTCCAAGATGTGATTAAAGTTTATGAAATATATACTTCTGATGCAGAAAGAATAAACTTTATAGATGGACCAGACGGCGATATCGCATTTAAATTTGATAAAACAAGCAAAGTCCTGTCTCCAATCAGCAATACTACATTAAACAACCTCAAGCTTTCTAGTCCTTTCATTTTAAGTGTCATGTTTAAATTTCATGAAAGTGATTATGCTTGCTTGTTCGCTATCAAAAATTTAGAGAACCTTGTTAAGTTAAGATTATGTATTACACCAAAAGCTCCTGATTTTTTTGAAATAAATATCGATATCGATGGCCTTAACGAAACCGTAAATATCGATGTATATAAAGACCTAAGTAAAAATTGGGTGGATATGTACATAACGTTTGACAAAGCAATAACACTATATACTGAATGTTCTTTTATCGATACTTTTGAACCGGATGAAAATATGGATGATATTTCTTTTACAAGTGACGATTGGATTTACATTGGACAGTCAGGTGTAGAGGAAAGCGGTCTATTCAGAGTAAGTTTAGTTATTATTTTCTCCAAAACTTCAAAAGTTATTTATAATTTAAGTATTAAAAACATTCATCATCAGCTCACTAATACGTTGCCACTGAGCGGTCTGCAGTTTACACTAAGTTTTTACGCCCATAGGAAACATTAGGAATATGTTAGTTCATAAACTTGCTGTTCTGCATGGATGGATGTTTTGTGGAGGTATCTCCGGAACGCATTTCGCTGAAATTTTGCATAGATGTAGAACATAGCCTGGAAGAACACATAGTTAGTAGCCTATGTGTTCTTCTGTTTTATTTTTTAATTCCGCACGGGCGGAGACGCGGTTTAGTTTCATATAATTTTTAAAATCACCAACAACTTCTTGTATTGTACAACAGTGCAAGTAACGGCACAAAATTAGCTGTCGCTGCAAGCTGAATTAGTAGGCGACTCGCGCATGTAAGGATTTCGCTAAACACGAGTAGATTAAATTCTACGGCACGGACGGGTTTGTATTAATTTCCCAAAGTAACTTTGCTAATTCCACATGCGGCTTCGTTAGTATTTTCACCTTTTGTTTGCTACGTTTCATCTTTTTGTACGTAATACTTAAAGTATATTTTACAAACGCACCGCAACTGTTAACGTTATAATATAAATTTTATCATACATAGTTAATGCTTTAAAACGTTATATCATTGTAAAATGTTTGAAACAAATTACAGCAGTATCATGTTTGAATACGTCAGAATATCTTTCTGAATTCTAAACACAGGTCTTTTATCAAATAAGCTAAAGTTACCCATCATACTTTAATTCATATACTTCCATAATATACTATTTAAACAATTAATATGCCTCTAGTGAGCTATATTTGGAATAAACATAAATATCATAAGCTAATTGTTACAGTCGCTAGAAACTAGCTACCACCTAAGCTATGAATCACTTCGTTATCGTCGACTAACAAAGTAAAGACCGCTAAATAGCATTTCATACCTTACATACAAACGCTAATGCGTTCTAACCCCGATATTAAATCAGCCGTTATGAGTTCATTAAGCTAACACCCTGCTATGTTTTCGTACTGGAATGTAACACGTGTTTCTAAATTATTGTTCATACAATTTTGCTCATGTTCGGTTCAATTTACTTAATGTCTTCGTTTGTTATAAGCTGAGAATTAACACAATTATGATCCTAACTGTCAAATTATACGTCTCAGATGATAATAATTATTTGTTAAGTAATTTTTAAAACCTTTAATCTTAGTATAAATATACTTAATCATCATTAATCTTTAACATTTTTGCTTTCTGTGCATCCTCTCCTCCATCGATTAAAGGTGGGCAACGCATATGCAATTGCGTATGTCTATGGGCAACGGTCACTTCGCTATTTCAGCGATTTCAGGTGTCCGCTCGCTCGTTTGCCACCTTATGATATATAAATAAAATAGAAACTATAACATTATTTATTTTATCACATGAACTGCTGAACTTTCAAAAATGTGCTACAAAATAATATGAGGTTCTTGATATGTTTCGTCGATGAGATTATAAAGGATTAACGTTTACAAGCATCCATCCCCTCCTCGTCCATCCGGCTTCGCCTCTATTCGTGATCGCCACAGTGACTTATAAAGTAAAACGTAGATAAAACGATACAGTTAAATAAAAAAGTTTATACTGAGCTTACTTCATCGCATTAGTGGGTTTACAATGATTATAAGACGGAAAGGATTTTATACATGGTATTAAGTCATTAAATTTAAAGCTCTTTCGAGAAACGGCTTGTAATTATTTTAAAACTATTCGTTTACTCTGCAAATAATTTAGTGGGCAATTTAGATTCCTTCACGCATCTTTAACTTAGCATAACAAAGATGCATTTCTGCACGTACAATTTGTTACTTCTACGGACTTTTAAAGCTGGACTTTACCTTATATCGTCAACATTATATTACGATCATGTTTTTGTAAACTATCTCTACTCGAATATATTATTTGACACATGTTTTCTTAAAGGTTACTTTCGTACGAAGTTACGATAGTGAACTCGATTAATCAGCGCATTAAAAATTTCTTAGAACTACAACATTACATTTAAGGGTTTGCACTATTCTTGATGTATTAAAAATATAAAATCTAATATAATTATTTTTTCCAGGGTGCCATTAACAAAATTATTTTATACCCGGATACGGACAACATACAAAGTGTTTGCAAGAATGTAAGTTGTTTTCATATATTTTTACTCTCAAGATAATAAAAGCAATGTGATGTCCTCACCAGAAAAGTTCCTCAAACTCAACATCATCGCGTCCTAACTCACCATAATTCATAATGTATCGCACATTGGTTGGTTTTTGTATCATCATCAGCTACGTATAAGTCAACGTACAATTATGATGACCCAGTGCGGGTTGCTTGACTTCACATGATCTTTGTTAGTCATGTTTTTGGTTTAAGGCTAATTATTTACTGTTTCAATGTGACCAAAACTTCATTAGCCATGTTTTAGACTTTGTTAAAGTACTAAGAAAAATAACTCTTACTACCTACATTACTAACGTTATAGGTAAGTTTTGTCGAGACTGTACTAATAAGAATTTATAATTAAAAATTTCAATAACTTTGTTATTAAAGGGTTCGCCCGAACCAAACCAAAACCTATCACCGCAAACTCATCAACAAATGAAATAGAATAACCTTGAAATACTCAAAAATCAAGTTTCACACTTAAGTACTACTGCAAGATATTTCCAGTCTTATTATTTAATATTTTGTCTTGATTATACATTGAATTACGAAACTTTTCATAGTATTTTTATTAATTCCTGATTGTATATATAATATAATATATAATGTGTTTTTATACAAATTATCATGATACAGAGAAACAATTTTTAAACATCAAAATTTTATTCCAGGAAATTTATATCCCTGACAGTGTAAGTCTTATATTCCAAAATCATATCGATGTTACTATGGATTGCCTTATACTATGTAGACTATAAATTTTATGTATATTTCTTCTAAAGTTTATTGGTATTTACATAAGTTAACTTTTATATTTGCTTATATATCCCGCAGGTATGAATGTAAATAACCACACGCATTAATTACGCACAATAATATAATTATATTGTAAAAATATTTGAAATAAGTATATATACTTTATGTAATTATGTACAATATTATTTCTATGTATAAACTATTACTATTATATACATTTGTTTCTCCTCGTAGTGTATTTCTAATTTAAAAAGTCTCCTAAACCGCTATCTGCCTATTTTGATATTAAACTTTATCAATAATATTATTAATGTTCTCTATGTAGTTCTCAAGTTATACAATTGTTCTTATGAGTCGGTACAATTGATTACTTCGTAACCTTTACAGCTTCCTTTGTAAATAACCTTTCTTAGACATTTTTGTATTCAATGTTATGTGGTTTAATTTGATTTTCTTTTGCAGTTCAAAGATGACTTAACTCTGCCACCACCTGAGGGTAAGATACTGAAATATAATTTACTAAAAATTGTAATTTTATTAAATTAAAATCAAAATTACCACAAAATGAATGAAGTTACTAATAACTCTTTTCATTTTACAGGTGAAGATAATAAAGAAGAAACTAATATGAAAGGGGATAAGGGGGAAAAGGGCGATATAGGGGCTAGAGGAGAAACTGGAGCAATGGGCATAAAAGGAGAAAAAGGAGACAAGGTATGAAACGTACGATTAAAATAAGAATAAAACTTAAACTACTTGTGCTACATTTTAGCCATATAAAAACTTTTTTTATATCATACTAATACTTTATTTATGTCAAAGTAATTATGTTTCACGTTACAGGGAAGCGCAGGTTTGTCAATAACTGGGCCTCAAGGTCCTCAAGGTCCAATAGGACCTCAAGGACCAATTGGTAAAGAAGGCCCTAGAGGAGAGGAAGGGGTAAGTTTGTTTGTTAAAATTGTGTACAATGTAAAAAGAAGCCACAATAAACTTTCCATTGTGAATGCTTACTTATTTTTATGAATAGTGAATTTCTTTCAGGAATGTCAGTGTTCAGAATCTGTTGTGTCGAGTCTTATAAAGAAAATGCCTGAAATGAAAGGGCCTCGAGGTGAACCTGGCCCTAGAGGAGAAGATGGCGATACTGGAGAAACTGGAGAAACAGTGAGCAAATCCTTTTCTATGTTGATTTATTATATTTCATCTAAAGACTTAGTTTAAGTATCGAAAAACATTAATATTATTGGCAAAAGACGATGAAGAATCGAAACGGTCTCGTCAGTAGATGGTTACGGAATGTTTTGATTTCTCTTTCTTTGGGACAAAAATAACCCTCAACAAATGTTGGTTATCTGAGTCAGTTCACAACAAAATCAAAAGATTTCTTTAAAACCGGCTAAGTTATTTATTTTAGGGATTACCTGGAAAACAAGGTGAAAGAGGTCCAAAAGGTTCAACCGGTGAGAAAGGTGATAAAGGCGACGACGGCATGCCGGGGAAAGACGGTCAAAATGGATTGAAGGGTGAACCGGGGCGAGATGGGCCGATAGGCCCTCCGGGACCTACAGGGCCAACCGGTCACCCTGGACCACCTGGACTAGCATGTGTGGTAATTAATTTGAATAAAAAATCCTATAATCGTAAGTTACGTATGTTGGTTAATACAGAAATGTTTTTTTCAAAAAGCGGGAAGAAGAGCCAGAAAAATTTCCAATACCTGGTGACAAAGGAGATGTCGGACCTCAAGGACCTCCTGGACCTCGTGGTGAAAAGGGAGAGAAAGGCGAAAGAGGTGTAATAGGCGAGCGCGGCTTACCAGGTGATTTGGTACGAAGTTAATATTTTGTACAGTTATATCCGCCTATTAATTTATCTTCTACTGTTAATGATGTTATGTTAGCAATATGGTTGAGACAGATTTACGGTAAGCTACATTCTAAAATCCGATATTAAAATTTTTCGTTTAAATGATCAACATAAAACGCGTTCGTGTTTCTCTGGGATTTGGGATAGGATAACTTGAGTCGTTTGAGTCATCTGATATGGTCACTTGTTAATTGCCTATTCCGTGGATTTCTGATTTTTGTTTTTTTAATTGTCTAACAGGGACACACAGGACCGCAAGGGAAACAAGGTGAAAAGGGGGAAGTCGGTAACCCAGGATTAAACGGCAAGCCCGGTGTACCTGGTACACATGGTAAACATGGTCTGAATGGTACTAAAGGTATGTACATATAAAATATAATAAATAAATATACATTCTTAATAATAAAATAGACATTCTTAATTATATTCTTTCAATATATCTCCATAGAATCGTATGATTTAGTAAGGCATTTTTGGTTTATGAATGATAAGATTGGATGAGGATTTTTTTTTAATACAGGTGATAAAGGTGAAACGGGTCTTCCAGGAATGCCAGCTAAACTGTCTTCTATATTAGACGACGACATAGACCCTGATGAAAGTAAGAGAATAAATTATGTCTTCATATTAAAAATGATACCTACACACTATAAAAATTGCAGAAGTTTTCTCAATTGTGAATTTGTGAAATATCTTTATTTAAAAAAAATAAGATTATATTTCTTGTAATATAATTTTTCGATCAGGTAACACATAATTCGTAATATTAAATATAAACATAATGGCATTGGTTATTATTTTTTTAGAATCTGTGATAGTGGAAATGTTAAGAGGATACAAAGGAGAGCCAGGAATTAAGGTTAGTTAAATGTAATTTAAATTATTTTTTGTAAAATCAGATTACCTCTATTATTATTGCCACAGACTATCTGATTGCATGTGAATATATTCAAATTTCAAGAACACTTTGTTCCTTTAAGGGTGATAAAGGAGATAAAGGACAAAACGGTACCGCCGGTATTCCTGGAGCTACCGGTAGTCGCGGTGATCGAGGAGAAAAGGGTGACAGAGGATCGACGGGACCCAAAGGGAACAAAGGCGAGAAAGGTGGAACTGGCCCACCGGGGGTTGTATCAATGTCTGCCTTGAGTCGTTTGAAGGTAACTCACTATTTTCTTTGCATCATTTCATTACAGTTTATTTCATTGATTAAAATTGTACGTTAAAATATAACAGGGTCCTAAAGGAGACCGTGGCCAAACAGGCAAGCCTGGTCCTCGTGGGTATGCAGGTCATAACGGTGCAAAGGGCCCAGTGGGTCCTATGGGTCAGAAAGGCTCTAAAGGTGATACGGGTGTTCCTGGACCAATGGTAAGCAGCAGTATTTTTTTAGTAATGCACTTAGAGGAATTCAAATTATAACGCATAATCTTGTTAAGATTAAAAACTTGTTAATTTTTAGGGTCCCAAAGGCTCAACTGGTGCAGCGGGAATAAGGGGTGAAAAAGGTGAAAGGGGCGAAATACCAGAGATAAACCTGGAAAAGGTACTATAGGTATTGAATATTTTGTTTATTTCTTTGCTGTAAATCAGGTAAAAACCATTTGCTTTTTAGTTTTATAAATATCTTTATTGTTGCATTATAGTACATTTTCATAACATCATCTTGATTATTTTTTCTGACCTACGATTCATTTCGATTTATTTTGTACCAAAAAGCTCAAGGGTGAAAAAGGTGACAGAGGTCCATTGGGACCTACAGGAGAGACCGGCAAAATGGGCCCACCAGGTATATGCCAAAAGACTGAAGATAGTTTACCGGTGCCAGGGCCACCCGGTCCACCTGGGTCTCCAGGCCCACCGGGTCCACCAGGTGCACCCGGTTCACCGGGTATATCTGTGACTGGACCTAAAGGCGAGCCTGGAGGGATTGTTTCTACTAAGACTTTGTATAGCTTTAGTGATTATCCAGGTACCTGTTTTTTTTAATTCTAAATATGATTTTCTTCTCTTCACAATCGGTTTTTTATTAGCAAATCCTTTTTTTCAGTTAATAGTGCAGATGATGATGATGAAGTTTTTCATAAAATGGACACGATGATTTACAAAACATCAAAAGGATTAAAAAGAGTAAGTAATTTATATTTTAACCTTATTAAGTACTAATTGAAGAATTAAGAACTTGGTGTATTTTTAATTTTTGGTAATTCCTCATTCTTTTTAGAGAACTAGGTCAACACCGGTGGGGACTCTCGCTTATGTTTTAGAGGAAAAAGTATTATTGTTAAGGGTTGATCGTGGTTGGCAATATGTTGTGGTATGATTTTTATAACATTCTACTTTTTTAAATAGCTTTTTAAATCCAATTTTACCATTAAATACATTTTTTATATTACAGATGGGTTCTTTATACCAAGAGAGAGCGCATAAACCAAATGTAGGTATCTTCTATATATGTATAAAATTATAATCGAGTTTACATAGTAAAAGTCTCTGGTAATTTATGTTAATATTTTCGTTAGTTTGTTTTTTGTTAAAGCTAAACACTATCTGAAATTTTTATCTATTAATTAATTATATTTGTTTACAGCCTCCTTTCCGAACTAATCATAATGAAAGGCGAGGAAAAAAATTCGTAAGTGACATTTTGTTTCGACTCTATTTCAATCGTACAACAATTTTGCTAACGGTATAGTTGATGTCCTAATTATTGATTAATAGGGTACTCTTCTACTTTGTTGCCGTTTTATTGCCTGCTATGATTGGGCATTAAAAGAAGGATACAATCTGCGCTACGTATACCATACATCTTGATCAGTTTAGCCTGACCCGTCTAGAATTATCGAATATAGCCGAAATATACGTAGCGCAATTGCAATATTTGTCTCTTGTATAATATTTTGACGAGTTTCTTTATTTTTAGGTTCATCATCATCATAATCATGATCAGTCATAAGACGCTTGTTTCTTATTATATTATCATTATTTGTTTTAGATTCGGTTAGCAGCACTCGATGAGCCCTATGCTGGCAATATGGAGACAGGAACAAATCGAACAGGTCGAAAGACCGTTGATCAGGAATGTCATCTTCAATCGAAGAAAGCTGGATTTACAGGAACATTTGCTGCATTTCTCGCAAACAAGTCAGTAGAAATTGTTTTCTCTAATTAATTTTCATAGGATAAGAGAGCAGTTAACCATTTATGTAAATCAGCTTTTTAGTAGAAGAGTAGAGTTTGACTGTCTGATTTTTTAACGATCTACTATATTATTTCGCGACCGTATAAACAGGATAATAAAAATATTTTTCTATCGCAGGGTGGAAGACTTGAAGTCTATTCTCAAGACTGCAGACAAGGATGTTGCCGTTTTTAATATTCATCAGCAACTTCTATTCGATTCGTGGATCGATATGTTTAACGACTCGGGAACGGTAGCTTTTAAATCGGATATTTACAGTTTTAGCGGCAAAAATGTACTCATTGATCCTACTTGGTAAGTTTTGTCCTTAAAAATGTTCATTGATTTCTTTACCGATTCTTAGAGTGGTCGATTTCATCATCATCTTATCCCACTTACGTAGGGTATCAATAACCAATCAAATCTTAAGTTTGAAACATAGATAGTGAAAACGTTAAGTAATTAAATAATTATATTAATATCCTATATTTTCAGGCCAATCAAAGCTGTATGGCATGGAGGGACGTCACTAGGAGTGCGATCGCCGAAATATTATTGCCGAGAATGGCTGACAGATAGTCCCAAATATTTTGGTAGTGCTGTCAAAATAAATGACAATAAGCTAGCAATACACGAAAAGTAAGTCACCTAAAAAAAAACATAATTATAAAACCTAATTTTAACTTTGTTTTTATATCTGAGTAGTAATAAAACGTGAAATTACATGCAGGGTAAAAAAATGCTTAAATATATTTTTTGGTTAAAGACGTCTGAAATTACATTATATGAATATAAATTTAAGGCCCAAATTAATGTAATAATTCTGTTCTTAGGTACACATGTGATAAGAAACTTATCGTATTATGTGTCGAAGTTCGACCGAATGTTGTAAGACGTCAGAGGCATATGTAAGTAATTAAAACGTCTTTTATTTTTATCACATCGTAACCGTGAGTTTACACTACCGAAACACTTATCTAAAAACATATGCTATCTTTGTTTTTTTCAAAGAGATTGAAAGAGATGACAATTTGTTTTTTGGACATTTATTTCAATAATGGGAATGACAAGGCTCTTTGTGATTACTCTAACTACATGACACTTATATTGTTTCAGATCGAGACGTCGTCTTGCATACGAGAGATTACTAAATAATAAAATCTGATATTAAAATGAGTGATTTGACTTGACTTAATTATTTATTTGTGAAGTATGTGATGTTATTTAATGTGTGGTGTTAATAAAAATAAGCCTTGGAATTTAACAAGTTTGGTGCAAAATGCGAATTTATATAATAATGAAAAAAGAAAACAAGCCAATTATATTAATGTTTAATTTATTTGTTCTCTTATCGATACATTAAAGATTTAGGCGTACTTTAAAATTTATATAAATTGTTAAAGGCATTTACCGAAACATACATAAAACAAATGTTAAGTTGGAATACGTAATAAAATTAATATTTACAGATATTATGAATATGTTTTTGAATCCCAAAAAGTTAAGATTATTTTCTTAATTTCAAATGGCTTTATTATTTCCTGTAATGAAAAAATGTGTGCATTTAATAAATTTATAACAACATCTATAACTAGTTTAGTATTAGTACTATTAAGATGACATTTTTTTTATATTTTTATGTGCCATAGTAATATTTTTTTATTTTTAAAAATAAGAAAAGTCAATAAAGATGTTATTTATACGTTTTATAACTTTTATTTTCCAGACCCTTAACTTAACTCTACGTCTAGCCAAGATTCAAGTTTATGACTTAAGCAAGTAAAAGTTATTACTTATTTATGGTTTCATGTACAATGATACAGAATATGATAATGTAAATTTTACGGTAATTTTAACTTATATAATAATTCTTATTACTATTACTATAAAACAAATTTTTAATTTTAAAATATTCGTCTATCTCTATGTATGTATCATTCATTACCACCTGTTAATATTAACAGCCACGAAACATATAATTTGAAAATAGTAAGAGCTTCATAAACATATAGAGAAATTCTTGCATACTCGTGCATGTAGAAAAGGAAACACCGCGGCGTCATGGTTTTCCTAGAAGTTTGACTTGGGGGCCTCAAGAGTCGTATGAATAGGCACTTACTAAATTAGCATGTACCTATGCTATTACATCTCTACATCAGATGGGATAGTGGTAAAGCGCTAGTTTATTAAAAAAAACTTGCAAAATATTACACTCGAACTTCTTATCCATCTAATAGTTAAGGATAGTCTCCTAGTATATTAAATATAGTATAACGTAAATAAAAATAAAGTATACATATTGCTAAGTATATTATTATAAAGTTAATTAAATTTTCTCTGCCTTAGTCAGCTGGAACAAGTGTTCCAAATGATTTTAATATAAACTCAGCTATTGCTTCGTTGTGCCAATTTATTTACTTCTTATTAATATCTTAGTTATGTTAATATTAAATACAATATGCTGACTGTGGTAAATTAAATATATATTAATATTGATAAATATATTTACTTATGCGTTTTGTATGTATGTACTAGAGGTCGCTTGGAATAAAAAAAAAACAAAATTAGGCTATGTGTTCTACATCTATGCCAAATTTTATCGACATCCGTGGAGCCGTACTGGAGATACCTTCAAACAAATATCCATCCATCAAAACATTGGCATTTTTAATATTAGTAAGAAATAAGATTTGTGTATTATCAGTCAACACGCTCAGTTTGTTTTAGAATTTACATCTTACTTCTTACTAATATGATAAATGCGAATGTTTAGGTGGATGGATGGATATTTGTTTGAAGGTATCTCCAGTACGGCTCCACGGATGTCGGTAAAATTTAGCATAGATGTAGAAGAACACATAGGTTACTATTTTTTTTTTTTTTAATTCCTCGCCGACGGAGCCGCAGGTAACCTTTGTATGTTATCAATGAACACGCTCAGTTTGTTTTAGAATTTATATTTAATGTATAATATCAAATAATATGCGCAATAAAGACACTTTCCCTTAAATATTTATGCCGTATTATTTTAGAAAACTATTTGTCGATTCGTCAGCGTAGATAATTAGTATCTCAATTTGCATCATCAAGTACCGTGTCTTCTACGTGCTTAGCTCAATCCGTTTTGATTCAAACTGGCGGGAAACTATTCCGTTTTGCTGAGTTTGTACGTAAATGTATTTAAATTGAAAGCTTTACCTTCGTCACGAGCGACTTGCGATGTAAATTATTTGAAATGCACCTCTAAGAGCTTGTTATCTTACTATTTACTTTTTAATATTTTAACGACTCATGATACTTATACAGCCATTAAATTATTCAAACTTTCGTGAGACATCATAATAAACTGATATAAAAACGGGTAAACACTCACGTATATTTGTCCGGTTGCGGCACTCGTTTGTCAGTGACGGGCCGTGTCCGCAAAATAATACCAGTCCCACTCATTCTGATGAAGGGCTCGCGATGGGCTCGAAACTAGTCGGTGCCGCCACCGGACGAATATACGTGAGTGTTTGGCCGTTTTTACATAAGTTTCTTATACAGCCATGTCAAATCGGAATTCGTTTGCTATTAATAAATAAAAATAAATAACGTTAAAGTATTTATTTAATATAAGCTATGGCCAGCGACTCCGTCGGCGCGGAATTAAAAAAAAACATAAAAAATAGCAAGCAAACAGTTCTACTAGACTGTTCTTTATTTATGCTAAATTTCATCGATATCTGTTCTTTAGTTCTGGAGATAGGTTTCATAATATAAGTAAGATTCTTTAAGTAACATTTATAATAGACTACAATAAAAGTATGCCTTTATGAAAATAACTTTCACCATAAATTATAAAAACAAACTTTTCAAAAGTACCGTCATATATCTAGAAGATATATCACTGCAGGTGACATTTGAATACCTGTCCTCTCCAAGTTTCCATCTATCGCCATTTTTATTATTAACTTATTGTTTACTTAGGTATTCCTTTATAAAGATATATAAAATAAAAAAGTGAAGAATGCAAACAATTAACTTTTTTTCAGGAAAATAACCCTTTTCAATATTAATTCCTTTTCTTTTTGACACGACAAATATTTGCCTTGGCCCGACCAAATTTCCTTTGAATTTTAGAGCTTATTTAAATTGTCGGGCGATGTATATTTATGGCTTTTTTGTACTACGTATTATAGTATCGAAATTTTTGCTTATTTTATTTGTTCACATGTAAAATACCGCGTTATAGTGTTTATTCAACAATATTATTGAGTTTACACTATTTTCTCTTAATTCACGCTAACCCCATCGGCGATACTTCTTTGCATATTTTTACAGTAATAGTGCCAATATTTATAAAACAATTAAAATTTACATTTTATTAGCAACTAGCTGTCGCCCGCGACTCCATCCGCGTGGATATATAAAAAACACTTAATTAGTGTAGCCTATGTGTTCTTTCAGATTATGTTCTATACGTATGCCGAATTTAATCGAGATCCGTTCAGCCGTTCTAGAGATATCTTCAAACACCCATCCATCCATCCATTCACATCACATCCATCTAAACATTCGCTTTTATAATATTAGTAAGTTAAATAAAAAGCAGCTCTTCAAAGCATAAATTCGAAAAAATTTTACCCTACGTTTGTCTCCTGGCTCTAAGCTACCTCCTCACCAATTTTAACCATATCGGGAAAGCCGTTCTTGAGTTATAAATAGTGTAACTAACACGACTTTCTTTTATTCATATATTTGATATTGCTATATGCTTATCTTATAACTTACTAATATTATAAATGGTAATGTTTTTTTGTATGAAGGTATCTTCAAGACAACATAGTCCGGAAGAACACATAAGCTACTATTTTTTTTCTGCGCGGACGGAGTCGCGGATGACAGTTCGTTTTTAATATAGTCATCTTGTGTGAATTAACTTTGTGAATTAATTTATTAATTAAACTGATATATAAACACGGCTAAACATTCACGTATATTCGTCCGGTGGCGGCACCGACTAGTTTCGAGCCCATCGGGGGCCCTTCATCAGGATGAGTGGTACTGGTATTATTTCGCGGACGCGGCGTGTCGCTCAGCCGCCACCGGACGAATATACGTGAATGTTTAGCCGTGTTTATATATCAGTTTAGTATAATGTCTCACGAAAGTTTGAATAATTTAATTTATTAATTTATAGTTTTCATCAGGGAAAAATTTTCATACATAAAACATAAAACTGCAAAGCAATAAAGTGTTGAAACTTTTGAGATACTTGAGCTATGTTGTGATCGTTAAACTTTACCCAACGTTTCTGTCTTTATGTGAACGTGCCAGTTAGCCTCGCCGCACAAATTTCTAAAGTTAAATTTTCTTCGGAACTAGGCACAGCAACAGACCATAAAATTAATGGGAGTTTATGAGACTTTTCTTTTATTCTGATCTTTAATTAAATTTAATATTTTCAACATAAATTGTATATAAAAGTCATAAATAGATTAGTTTATAAATTAATTTTAAATGTTTCCAATTTAAATTCTTATAACAATTCAAACAAACTTGTTGTTGAAAACTCAACTAATAAAATTTTTGATTTTTTTATAGATCTTGACATATGGCAGAAAAGTTGGGACACACAAAATGAGATCACGTTTTAGGGCGTACGTATGGAATAATAATGACGTCTTATCAATGTCTCTTTTCAGCGAGGGTTACATTTTTGCCTAAGCGATACGTGATGGTTTACTTTAGCCGCACGGGAAAGGTAACTTTAATATATTTATTGTCTACATCAGTATGTTCATTTCTCAAAGTAAATGACCATATAACTTTGTTTATTAATTGTTACGCCTGATGGAATAAAATAGCAAAAACAACTAAATAAAAATTAGATTTATACAATGATAGTTAAAATATTCCTAGCGCAGTAAATATTCTTCAAATTAACTATTTTAAAATTGTAGCCTGCTTTGATTTTCGTACAATTAGCGTGTGGCCCTCACACTTTGCACGGAAGCGATATTTTGCTGTCAACATCGCATGATATATTATAGCGCCTGTTAATATACGACGGCAAGCACATGGAGCTCATTTTTCTTTGTCTTTCTCAAAAGATGGACGAAAAATGTGATAGTTTCGTGTAAATAGCCAGATCTGTGAGAAATTTAACAGGAAATTGCATTGGCTCACCTAGTCTCAACAATACGGGAAGAAAGATGACGTCGGATGAACTTTAACGAGGAAAACTATAATATAATATGAATAGCATCATAAAGTAAGATATTTCAAGCGTTACCTCTCCATATACACTATACAATGTATTCGATTCAATTTAACTTTCAAATCACTTCTACCAGTAAGTTTAAGTAACTATGTTGACAAAAATAAACTTCTAATTTTAATTAATCATAAATTTCCATGGAAGATGGGTCGGATGCTGGTATGGGATGCAACCTGTTAAAACACGCTGGCCCCTTTCCGTCTACATGGAACCAATAACTTGAGCTTGTGAAGCGGCAGAAAATGCAAAAGCAAGCAAATACAGGGATCTAAGCTCCGAATATGATTTTGCCCCATTCGGTGTTGAGACCCGTGGTCCGTGGGGTCCTAGCGCTTTAAGGCTTTTTAAGGAAATATCAAAAAAGTTAATCGACATCACAAGGGACGGAAGAGCTAGCAGCTACCTCAGACAAAGAATTAGGATAGCTA